ATACCCTTGTTTGTTTTCAAGACACTGCTGGATGAGAGTCAAACTCCTTAAGGGACCAAATGGCCTCTTCTCATCGCTAATCATTCTTAAAACCCCTTCATGCCTCAGAGTCTGCCACTGAACTTGTGCTCAGCCTAGGCCTGGCTTAAAGGATGGGGGTCTCTGTACCCCATTTGCGACAGCAGCCCCCCCCCCGGCCTCGCCGCGAGATGACCCCCAGCTGTCTCTGCCCCGGGCTGTGGAGTATATTTAGACCTGCGGTGAGAGAGGAAAAGGCCTGGTCTCGGCTCCAGAGACTGTGGAGCTCGGGGAGGGGCTGCTGGAGGAAGGCGGGAACAGAACTGGCCTGTTTGCATTTCAGCTTCCCCTCTCTCCTCTCTCCTCATCCGTAAAAACAAAGCTGGATTCAAGGACTGTGCAGTCTTCCTATCTCTGAGACCTGTTTATTTGCTCAGAGAAGTCGGGGGGGGGGGTCTGTCCTGGGGGGTATTCTGGCTGCAGGCACTCCTGGCACTGTGGGTTGGCCACTAAGCCTGGTATCTGCTGGAGTGACTGCCTCTGGTGCAGAGGCCATGCGACTGGGGGGAGATCTGCAGTGTAACACTCAGTGACACTTTGGCTTAGTGCTCAGTGCTCAGCACTGCTGCCTGGAAGTGCTGGGGCTCAACTGCTGTCTGTGGGGAGTCTGTATGTTCTCCCCATGTTCGCATGGGTTCCTCCCACAGTCCAGAGACGAACTGGTGGGTTGACTGGCTTCTGAGGAAACTGGCCCTGGTGTGAGTGTGTGTGTCTGTGTGTGTCCTGTGATGGACTGGTGTCCTGTCCATGGTGTGTGTGTGTCTGTGTGTGTCCTGTGATGGACTGGTGTCCTGTCCAGGGTGTGTGTGTCCTGTGATGGACTGGTGTCCTGGCCAGGGTGTGTGTGTGTGTCCTGTGATGGACTGGTGTCCTGTCCAGGGTGTACCCTGCCTTGTGCCTGCTGCTTGCTGGGGTTGAGTCTTTACGCAGTTAGGGGTGGGGGTGTTCAACAAGTAGCCCAGTCTTGTTGTTGGAGCCGATACCCTGACTTCTCTCAGACAAAGCTGCGTAAGATCTTGGAATCAATAAGCACCCAACAGGTCAGATGAGTGACCTGTCTTCTGTTCATCGGTATCAGCGATTCAGATTTCCCCACAAAGCCTGGGCCTCCGGAACCGAGACCCGTCTCTTCCACGGGCTCTTCAGGGTCCTGGCTGAGACGTGGGGTTCTCAGCTCCAGGGCCCCTCCGAGATCTCTGGGCCCATCAGCTGTGCGAGATGCACAAGATCTCAAGAGCTCTGCAGGATCTATTTGGGACTCTCCCATCGTCCACAGCAGGACCGTCCAGTCCTGCTCCTCGTCCTGGAGAGTCAGTCAGTGTGTCTGAAGAGCTGTCCAGTCCTGGTCTTGAGGTCAGTGTATCTGCAGGTTTTCTTTCAAGCTGAGATCTTAACTTACCCCACAATTTTAACTTTTTTAAACTTTTGACGTAATGTGACCTGCTGTGTCTTTGCTTTTTTCCTGTGCTGGACACTGGGGTCTCCCCCGCCCCTCGAACGCGACTAGGACCCACGGCTCTCGCGAGCGGGCCCTTGGCACGCGAGCAGCCGGTAAAGCAAACACGCGCGCGCACGCGGAGCCCTGCTCTGCTCCGCTGGCAGCCGGCCAGGCGCGGCGCCGCTCGGGGGCGCGCAGGAAATGCAGAAGTTATCTCAGCTTCCCGCAGTTGAGGCTGTAATGTCAGATGTCAGACAAATATTGACTGAACAAGTATCATTTCCGAGCCTACTACTGCTGCTATAATAATAAACATTTTAATATAGTTTATAATATGATAATAAACATTATTTCTGTATGTTCTTGTTCCTTTATTTAACGTGATTGTCATAGACATACAAATAACACAATGCCTTGTATTATCGTCGAATTGCTTTAAATGTAATTTCCAAAACGATAACCGTAAATTTGCACTATTGCACGAATCTTTCTGGGGGTAAAATCCACGGACTCTCCCTGAGGTCAATACGCATCAGTTTTACCAGTGATTTCATTCTAAACTCATCATTCATGCTGCATACGCTTACGTTTACTTTTGTGAGCAGTTCTTCTGGCTTCGATTCATTAGTACCGGACCGTACAGCTTAAACACGAGCCTTTCAAATTGGGTAGAAGAGAGAGAAAGGCGGACGGTCCTGGCCGGAAGGCGGCCCGAGTTGCGCATCACCTGCGCGCAGACAGAGCGGCTCCCGAGACGGGCGCCGCGCCGCGCGACTGCTGTCCTCTGCTTCCGGGCGGCGCTGGGGGGGGGAGGGTCTGACGGGGGGGGGCTTCCTCACAGCCGTGACACGGCTTGAACACGCCCTGCAGAACAATAACGAAATCGAAGTTTTAAAAATAGGATTTGGCACGAAAAAGTGGTTAAAAATAGAAGGGTGACGAGAAGGGTGACACGCTGGTCGCGAAGGTCGCCTGGGTCTGTGCGCCTCAGGTGTTCATCTCGCCCACCTCCACAAGGCAAACTCTCAGCGTCCGACGAAAGTTCTTGAAAATTGAATTTTCACCACAAAGTACAACCGCTGGATGATTTTAGAGCAAACTATACATTGAACTTCATTGGCTTTATAGTAACGAGCATCTGAGAAACACTTCCATCAAGCCCATAGACGTCTCAGTGAAATGCAAGTCCTGTCACACCTGTAAGAACGTCACTACCTGTCACCCGTCAGTGTGCTCGATCAGAGTTTCGGGCGCTGCCTCTCCAGGGTTGTGCGGACTCCGGACTCGCCAGTAGTTTACGCGCAATGAGAATGACTCTTCAGACCTCCAAGTACAGGCGGCTACAGAACGTTGCATTTCTAATAACAATATGCAGAACATTTTGAACACGTTCGGTAATAGAACGTCCTCCTTCATGCCCATGAAACGATGCCATTCTCAAACGGGGAACGTCGCTGTAAACCGCCTGTGGACGAACATGGGTTTAACCGAAAAGGCGCTCTATGTGGTCACCTTCATGCAGAATGAAGGTGAAACAGATTTCAATGCTTTGAAAAACGATCGGGTGGTCATTTGCGTTAACTTTATTATATATTATATTGCCGACTCGGACGTACCGAGGTTTACATCTACTGTATATAATATAATTTAAAATAAAATAAACTTCCACTTTATATCAGCAAAACCGAGCTTCTCAAAAACAAAGGGCATTTCGTTTGAAAGATTTCTGAAAACAACACACTTACTAACAGCAGGGTATTTACCCCTGTTTTAAAAATAGATTAAAATACAAATGTTAAAGGGTAAAACAGTGATAAATTAAAAATATCTGAGCATCGGTAGATATGTCCGAAAAAAATCATTTTCTGATTTACTCATTCCTGTAGAAAAGCAGAGAAAAGCATGAGAAATAAATGTGTATGGAAAAGGTCAATAGATTGTGGGCAAGAGAACGGTTTCTAGTATTTCTGAGAGGGGACAGTGTCCGTATGGTCCACATCACACTCGTGTAGCTGGCGGGGTGTTCCCGCGTAGTCTCCAGCGGTGTGACCGCCGCCACACGGGCGGTTGAAGTCTGGGACGCCGCCCGCTCGGGGTGACGATCAAAACATCTGCAAAGCTTTGAAATCAGGCTGCTGAAAGATCAGATAGCATCAAGCCTGCAAGCCTGCGTCTCGCCCTCAGTGTGAGTGTCTAGTGATCCCAAGATCTCATACAGCTGTTTCCTGGCAGAAGCCATCGGATCGGTTTCAACCACACGGCTGGGCAGCTTGTTCTCCACTCCCACCACCCTTTGTGTAAAACAGAGCTCCCCGTTCTTAGTTTGCAACGCATTTCCCCGTATTTTCCCGCGGTGCCCTCCGGCCTTGATAAAAGAAGCGGCAGAGTCTTATTACGGTAAAACCCTTTGACGGAGACAGCGACAAAGCCTCCGGTGCGAATTGCGAACAGTAACGAGATCGTCTGGAATCGTTTCGACTTGCTTTTAACACACGTTGTATCTGCTCATCTAGCGGCAACTCCAGTCCACTCCTCTGAACTGCTCCCATTCAACTAACTCCGTGACTGCTTTATCGATCTTGCTAAGTAGCTTTTAAATAGCAAGGGGTTTTTCAACTGCACAGGCACTGCGGGGCGATTCCATGTGATCTGGGCTCGCAAATATTCCGATTTTTTTAAGATCCTACATGCAGTGGACGCATATTCAAGTAGGTCATCGGATACAATTAGCCGGATGATTAAAAACGCATTACTTCGGAAATCGTCTTCTTTTTTTCACTGTCCTCTAAAGATAAACGTGTAGCGGGATTCGCCATGTAGGAGCGCGCAAATATGCGCTTTCTTAAAATTGAATCGTTTCATTCGATCTGAGTGGCTGATATCGAAATGTAGCTGAAATAGGCCTTCAGAAGTGTGAGGGTTTTCAGAAGCAGAAGTTTCTCGCTTCTAGAAGGGGCTGGAACATCTCGTGTGCGCTTCTGTGAAGCCGTATTGTCAAATGTAAGTCACAAACACGCATCTTTCATCAAACATTTCGGGGGGAAACGCTTCTCAAATCGCTTCAGTCAGGCTCAACCAAAACCAGCGAGTCGCTGTGGGATTTATGGCCGCTTTAACTTTGGCAAACGCGGAGTCTTCACAGCATCTCTTCAATTACGAGGAAAGATTCGCTATCAGCAAAGCACACTGTACGCGCAGCACACTACAGAAAGAAGTGCGATATAAATGCCCCCCCCAATCATCAAGGAACAAAAAGCCCCTCTCATCCGGCTGCGGTGCGGGGAGTTTTGGGGTACGTGCTGGCGCCCGACAGGGTGGAAGCAGGGAGCCCACTTCTGCTCGTGCGAAGTGGGGACGTGCAAAGATCGCGAAGATTAGGAGCCTTTCAGGAAAAGGGCACTTCCGCGGCCGGGCTGTCTCCGGCGTGTCCCTGCGCTATATAAGGTCCGCGCAGCCGCGAGTCCGCCACAAGCCCGCTGACACGGCACGTGCCCGGAGCCACCTGGACACTGCGCGCGGAGAGGATGAGCATCGCGGCGCTGCTGACGAGAGCTGCGCTCTGGGCGGCCCTGGCTGCGGTCGCCGCAGGTAACACTGCGCTTTCTGTCGCTTTCTCTCGGCGGTCTGCAGGGGGAAAGTTTGGGTGGATAAAAAGCACAAGTTACGCTTTCTTTCCGATTGCTTCGGGTATTTCACTCGACGGATTTTTTCTTGGTTTCTCTGAGAGGAAAAATGCGTTTGCTGGAGTGATTCGGGGAACAGTGATGCTTAATAAATAAACAAAGGTTCAAGAAATTGAAATGATTTCACTCCTTTCTTCAATTCTATTTAATTACAAATAACATATTTGATTGGCGAGGATTTCGTCGTTTGAAGTTTAGCTATAAATACGCAGGTTTAACTGAGTTTGTCATTGTGTTAACCTGATTTTTCCAACAAAAGTGTCTTTTTAATCACCTTTTACCTTTATTTCTGTTCTTTCTCGAACGGGGAATAACACAAACAGTTAAGTCAAAAACTATAAACGTTTTATTACTAAAAATCGTTCAAGGCGTTTGTCTCTCTCTTTTTTTTTACCAACGTGTAGCTATTTCTGCGACTCTCCCGTTGTGATAATCTGGGAGCAGCTCCGTTATTTTCCCTCCTTGAATTCCTTGAACCCGGACAGTCAGCTCTGTGTCTGCTGCGGTTTCACTGCAGCTCTAGAGCTGAACGAAACTGTCAAGCAGGCTTTGAGGAGTTGGGTCATGATACATATTCAATGGAAAGTAATTGTAATGTCTCCACACAAAAGAATAAGAGATACAACCAACAAAATAAGTTCCCATCCTGAGTACTTGGGACTCTCAAACCTGTTCATTTTCATTCTAGCAGAGCGCTGTTTTCAATAACTGAACTCCTGTGATTCAGCTTGATGATAAAAGATCTTAATACTTTCAGTTCCTAAAAACAACGGACTTTGCCTACAAGCTGTTTACTGTAAGTTCGTAACAATAAAAATAAGTAATTTACGAACACCCGCCTTTGAGCAGAAAAATAACTTGCAAAGATCCCTCAAGCGATGTATCAGTCCAACTAAGCGCTGAATTAATCAAACTAATATTATTGATCTTAGCACAGCACCAGAGCGCGGGGCTGAGAATCCGGTAGGTCTGTAGCCTCGATTAGGAATGAAAGACCAAGTCCGGCTGTATGGGCTGGAGAGCACCTTCGCCACAGCAAGAAGTCAGACTCGTCCTGGGGACAGTTTCTCCGAGTCGGAATCACCTGCACTGCTGAAATAGGATATCGGTTTGTACCGTGTAAACGAGTTAAATAAATGCGGCACAAAACGATATCCGACTTCAGCACTGTCGGTATTTTATGCGAGTTAAACTGAACTCTGTAAGACATTTGAATCGTTGAGTGCTCTCCTAACCGATGCATCACCCCCTACTCCCGAGAAACGGTGCCAAGCAAGCCGATGTGTTTAACAAGCAGTAGCATGTTGCCATCGCAAGAAATCCGCATTTGTTATAGGCGACGGCGGGACGTCTTTCTAGTCACACGGCCATTCAGCAGGTGGGCGTGTCCGGTACAGAAATTAATCGCACACATCATTCCAACCCAAGTCTGCTCATCAGTAATTGATCGACTTCTAAGAGCTGTTTAGTCAGAATAAGAAAAGTTTTACACGCTGTAGGTGTTGGAAACTGTACCTGAGCAATACGATTGTTGTCACTCATGACTGACCAAAGACACAAGTTTAAATAAAACTCTAAACAGCTCTGAACTGGGAGAAATGGTGGGTGGATGGTTTTCTCTGGTCCTGAGGAGCCCCAGTCCTGTAGGTCACCTGTTTCTGAAGATTGGCAACAACCTGTGAGCTACTGATGATCAGCCCAACTGTTTACGATGGGTGTTATTCTTGTTTTGTAAGCTTTAGCAAATGTTATACCATATATTTACAACACATGTAATAAACAGTTTGTATATTTATGATAAAAAGTCACAAGACTAATTTCCATTGACTGGGTTAATTGCAATTGTTAAAATATGTCAAAAGATCCAGAAAACCTTCATATAGTGTAAATATTCTCATATAACAGTATGTTTTGTGGCTGAAAAATGTAATTTTTGAAGACACACATTCAGCAATCACAGATACTCTTCCCCATCAGTCTGTTAGACTGAGGGTTGACTGTCTTGCATTTAAGCTGTTTCACTGTATGCAGTGGAGCTGATCCACAGCTCTAGAAACTGGTGTTTTAGTAGTGTGAATAAATTTAACCTACAGATGCGGCTGAACTGTGGCTCTCTGGGCCCAGGGTTAGTAATTGAACTCCACACAATTAGTTTCTGCCCCTTGAAGCAGGTGAGCTGATTAAGCCTTTTTGCGATTATTTCAAATGAAAATCCAAACATCTCACCTGCCTCAAACACCACAGCTGCGCACACTGGCTTCACTGGAGCCAATTAACGTTGATCATGAACAGTTGATCAAAGCTCACATGTGGTCCAAGTCTTTCTGTACTGGTCTGCGGGGAGCTGCAGCCCCTCTGGACAGCTCCGCTCTCCGGGCTGCAGGAGTGGGCTGGAGCCGGCGGGCACGAATGCAGACCAGTAGCAGCTGCGGTGCTCAGTGTGTCGGGAGGATCTGGCACAGAGCCCGGCTCAGACACACCGCGCCAGAGCCCTTCTCCATACAGGAAGATATCAAAGCCGCACAGGGAGTCCGCCTGGGTATTTATAGACTCCTCTCTTCCTCGGACACGGGGCTAGTCCCATGTGTCCGGATCGGAGCTGCACGGGGGGCAGTACTCCGAATCAGCCCTGAAAAACTACAGGTCGAGGAGTTTCCAGGCCCGCAGCTCCCCCGGGGGGGCCCTCCGCAGGATTGTGAGGTGTGCTCTGAGGGTCGCTGGAGATGCAGTGATAGAAACTGTGCAAGTGGCTCAGGGCACCAGTTTCTGGAGGGTCGCAGCTGCTGTTTCAGCTTGTCTTGTGAGCTTCAAAAAAGTTTTTTCTCTTTTTTTTTTGTTCTGTGCGCAGGGTTAGGCAAGTCTTTGGAGATCGTGTCCAACTCCGGAGACGTCGAGCTCGAAAACTCACATTTCATGGTTTGTAAAGGTAAGGATCCACCCGACCACTCCCGTTCTCACCCCCTGTGTCCTGGGACAGCCTGGGCCTCCTCCTCTGTCCCACCTCGCAGACCTCCTGTGCCCCTCCCTCCCCCTGCAGCAGACACAGAAACGGGTGGGATGGCGGGCGTCTTCTCTGCCTCTGCTTTGTCTCCAGCCCTAATCCCAGCTCATCATGTAGGGCACAAGAGCAAACTGTGTGGAAGAGCATGTAAGGCTGAGAACAGGTGATACGTCTTTACACAAAGGCTGGTGGGAGTGTGGAACAATCTGCCCCAGTCATGTTGTTCAGTCTGATATCCTGATTTCTTTTAAGAACCAGCTGGATGAGATTTTGAGATTAAAGAGCTCCACTAACTACTAAACCAGCCAGAGGTGCTGACAGGACTCCCATCGTTAGTATTTCCTGATTTCTGATTTCAGCCAGGGGAGGAGAAGGTACCATCACTTGGCACAAGGATGAAGAAGAAATCGAGGATGGCCAAGATAATTTTGTCATAACCAAGATTGACGAAGTATCATCCAAGCTGACCATAAAAAACGCTAGGAGAGAAGATGGAGGGACCTACATCTGCTCCTGTGAATTTGAGGATGGGATTGTGAAAACGGCCAAACAGACTATCACCATCATCAGTGAGTGAAGCCCTACCTGCTTGGTCTAGTATCTAACCAGGATGAGATTCTTATATTTTGTACCAACTGTAGAAACATTAAAATGTCAGAGTCCGGGTGTTGGTGAAAGAAGGGCTGTTTATTCGTATGCATATGGGAGATCAGCTTGTAAAAGCTAGTCTTTCTGAACGGTTATAAAGTTAGTCTTTTTATACAGTGTAACTAACAAAGTATTAGCACGTACATCATATGACTTGCTATCTGTCGACTCAGTCCTTTCCATTCTTATGCTGGTCTAACAGGAAAGACCTCCTTATGTGGCACTTTGCCAGAACTCAGCATTCACAAAACATGTTGTTACAAGTTCTGCATAGGTGTTATGTGAAATCATGAACGGACAGCAGTTGCTATGTGTTTCAGGCAAAGAATATGCATCTTGACCTTTAGGAGATAATTTTTTTAAAGCATTTAGTCTAGATTCTTCACAACTGATTGGATAACTACAGAATAACATTGCTGCCACCCAGGAAAAAAAAACATCCTCGTCCTTATCTCACACTGATGAGAAAATTATCTTGTAATTATGCGATAGTAATTCTCATAGTAATTCTCATGTACGCGATAGCAGAATTGTCATATAATACCTATATCACTCCGTGCAGGCTTACAGTTAAGCAGCGGGACTGGTTGTATGTATAACTATTCATAACGGAACCATCATTGCTTTGATCTCTAAATCCCACAAAAGTGGTCCTTAAGCTCATAATGATTCTGTTCATATTTGCTAAAAATGGCAAAACCCCAGTCGAAATCTGTACGATTTCTGCAGCGCTGGACATTAACACGGCCATTAATCCGAAAGTGCCAGCCAAGTTCATGGTGGCTTCTCGATGTGTAACAGGTTGTACACACACTGACGTAAGCATTGCTATCTCGTAATTCCGAGATAAGGGGGTGGACCTCTGCACCACTGTGTTGTCCACAAGGAGCCTCCATGTTGTGAAAATTCTCCTTTTTTCTCTGACTCTTTTTTCCTTTATTTACTCGTTGTTTCCTCCTCTGTTCCCACCATTAGTGAAGCCGAAGATCCTGACCACCACTTCCTACTACGAGTTCCTCGCTGGCAAAGATGCCACCATGCCCTGTGAGGTCACGGGCATCCCCATGCCCACTGTCACCTGGAAGTTCAAAGACAGGGGCGTGATTGACAGTACTTCCGGTGAGCCGCCTGATGGCACTCAAATTAACCTTTGAACTGAAACAGGAAGGAGGACGGGGAAGTAATTACACGTTACTCCCCATCCAGCTGTTATGTCTGCGTCATAATAACTTGTAGAAAATGTTAAAAACGGTTTAATTGTGTTTATGACTTTTAAAATTTCGTGAGTGTGGTTCAACTGACAGCAAATTAAAAGTACAACTTATGAAATAAAGAACTGTTAGATGAGGAGGACTTGGCAGAATTCGTATCCAAAAAATATATAAAATGGCTCGCAACACTAAGAAATGTAGCACTTTATGATGCTTTGGCTTTGTTTGTGATGGGTTTCCTGTTAAAATCTGTAAGGAAGCTGTTCGAAAAGCTTCTTTAGACTGACTGACCGCACCCCGGCGCCCTTGGAAAGCGCAGGTGGGTGGCCGTGTGAGTGCGGTGTCGCTCGTGCCCAGTGGTACAAGAACTTCTCATCTCTCTTATTGTTCCAGGCCGGATCTCCATCCTGCCCGGCAACAGCCTCCAGATCCAGAACATCAGCCGTGTGGATCACGGCACATATGTGTGTGAAGCCTGGATCAAGGCCAAGGAGCGCAACGAGGTGGCCAAGCTCTCGGTCTCCGTAGTGGTCAACGGTGAGTGGTCATCAGGAGACCAGCATTGACCGGCCTGGAAGGGGGGGGGTAACTGTGCCAGGACATTCAGGATCAGGGGGAGAGGGGGACTTGTGTTCTGTTTCTGATTACACTGCCAGTGAATGAGCTCCGGTGTCCTCTCACAGGTTAACTGGCTTCTGGGGAAACTGGCCCTGGTGTGTGTGTGTGTCTGTGTGTGTGTGTGTGTCCTGTGATGGACTGTCGTCCAGTCCAGAGTGACCCTGCCTTGTGCCTGTTGCTTGCTGGGATAGACTCCAGCTCCCCTTGACCCTGTACTGGATAAAGAGAATAGGAAACAGTGGATCACAGTGAGTAAGGGACTGAAGATCAGCTCAGACACCAGATCAACAGCGCTGAACGCCAGAGATAAGGCCGAGACCGGTCTGTGTGTGAGTGGACGTGTCTCTGACTGTCCCCTTCCTCCCCTCCAGCTCCACCCCACATGAGGACCCATGAGCAGGAGAAGAGTGTGGCGGCTGGTCCTGCCTCCAATGTGTCTCTGACCTGTCCAGTCAGTGGACACCCTCCTCCGAGCATCAGCTGGGCCAGGTGTGTCTGAGCTGACCTCTCCTCTTTCTTCCTGCTTCTTTCTCTCCAGAGAAGTGGTGAGGTGTTACTGGCTGGTTACTGGCTGTTACCTCTGACCAGGTGGTTGTTCTGTTGTTATTTTGTTCAACATGGCTTCAGTTCAGGCACAGCACGCTGTCTGTTGTCACTCGTACCCAAAGCCATCATGTCTGCTGGCTTCACAAGCTCCTCTGCTGAGGCTCAGCACTGTGTTTGAGTGTTTTGGTGCTGCAGTAGCCAGTGTGTGTTTACTACCCTGCCTTCTCCCTCTCCCTGACTCTGACCACTTGCAGTCCAGAGAGGTCTGACCAGAGCAGGTACCAGTTTAACTCAGACCACAGCGAGCTCATCATCCACTCGGTCAGCAAGAACGACGAGGGGGTGTACAACTGCACGGCCACCAACGCCTTCGGCACTTACTCCAGCAGAATCGTTCTGGGAGTCTCAGGTACTGCCTGACCTGGCTATTCTGTCCTTCTAACGGGTTCAGCCCGGCTGTTTTTTCCTGCAACATCAAAATCCTTTCTGGAAAGATTTTCTATAGGGTGGAACATCCTGTGTGGTGAGGTCAGAGAGGGGGAAGTGATTCAGTGATGCACAGGTGGTGTGACAATGATTAACATCCCCACAAGTTTCTTCCCACAGAAGCACCTTTGGGTGTAATGATTTTCTGAACAGTCAAGAAATAATCTTGGCAGAAACCTTACAGAAACAGACTGGCTCTGAACACAAACAGGAGGGCATGACAGAGCAGAAACTTGAAACAAGAAGGAAGCAGGAAAAATACTAACCTCTCTTAATCTGGCCTTCCTGATTTCACATACCTATTTGGTGATCTTTCATATCTGTAAAAGAGGTTCTATTTTAGATGTCCGGGTTTCTGCGAAATCAAACACCAGACTCTGGATATTGGTATTACAGGATGTGTTTCACATCTTTGAGCAAAGTTGCATAGATTTTATCTAGGAGGTGTGTGTTTCTCTGCGAATCCTGACTGTGTCCCTCTCCGGGCTGCTCCAGTGAGGCCCGACGTCCAGCAGCTGGGCACAAGAGAGGCTCAGCCCGGCGAGACAGTGTCCGTCACCTGCCAGGCCACTGGTGACCCCACCCCTACAATCCACTGGGTCAGGAAGAGCGACGGCCAGATTTTGGTGAGTGCCACTATTTGGCAGCAGCAAATACGGACGGGCACCAATGCCTGCTTGGGGCTGCGGCAGGCAGGAGTCTATCCCAGAAGCACAGGGCTCAGTGCAGGACTGCACACTGGACGGGACACCAGCCCACTGCAGGACACACTCCTACACATTGAGGCGCTATGCACATCAGTCAGAGTGTCTGAGGAGACTGGGAGCACCCATAAAAACATGCAAACTCCACACAGCAAGGACCCCTGACTCGAAGAGGCAATAGGTCCGTGGAGACTTGTGAGAGTAACGTTAGGGATCAGCAAGCCAGCGACACGAGAGCAGCTAAGACATGGGCAGATGCAGGGCAGGCCTTGCAGGAAAGAGGAAGGCGAAGGGAGGGGAAAAGGAGCCTTCAGACAGGAGGGCAGAAACTGGGGTTGGACCCCTTCCCCGGATTGTCACTGTGTCTGGGACTGACAGCCGTCTCTCTCTGTCGCTGTGTGCAGAGGCCCGGTGACCGGATGGACATCAGAGAGGACACGAGGTCCACCACCTTCACTCTGAGGCAAATAGTGCCCTCCGATGGCGGCATGTACACCTGCATCGCCAGCAACACGGTCGGAAAAGCGTCCCAGGACCTCAGCCTGCAGAGTAAGTCCTGTTGCCGTATTACAGGAGCATCACAACACATGGCACACCTCGGTTTCCGTGTTGACGCGCGGTAGCCCCGTCCCACGTGTGCCTCCTGGTGCTGATCCCTGCGTCTCCCTCCCTGCCCCCCAGCGCCTCCGGCTGCGCCCCAGCAGGTCCGCGCCCACGCCAGCCCCACCTCCGTGCGGCTCTCCCTGGACGCGCCCTTGGCCGACGGGGGCTCCCCGCTGCTCCAGCTGCGCCTGCAGTGGAGGGAGGTGGCAGCCAGCGAGTGGAGGCAGGAGCTCGTCGGTGCCGGCGGTAGGTGTTCTGCTCAGAGCCGGGGTGAGACGGAACAGGGAAGAGAAGTCAGAGACACAGGTGCTGTTTGGGGGGTGTGGAGAGGGAGAGAGATAATGGCAGGAAATGGCAGAGCCCCCTGGTGGTGCTGCAAGGTCTGAGCCTGCGTTTATCCGCGCAGATGCCCTGGTGATCACAGGTCTCCAGCCGTACACCAGCTACAGCGTGCAGCTCTCCGCCATCAACGGGGTGGGAGAGGGCAACATGTCCCAGGAGCAGACGGTCCGCACCGTGGGCATCAGTGAGTACCGCACAGCCACCGGGCCGCCCATCCACACCACACAAGTAGAGAAGGACTGTAACTGGTGCCTTCTGACCTGAGCCGTCAATTCAACAATTCACCTAATTCAGATATCACTACAGCCAAACTACAATTTCCTATAAAACGTCAAGGCTGGTTAGAAGTCTTAAGAATTATTCAGTTAATTAAATAATTAGACCAGCTGTGACAGAGAGTTCTGGTGATTTATATCCCAAAGATCTGAATATATCCTGCGTGTTCCAGCTCCTGACTGTGACTGTTGTTTCTGTTGTTTTTATCTGCTGGCTCAATTCCATCTCCCTTCATTGGCTCTGCCCATCTCTCCTTCACCCAATCACTCACTCGCAATCACCCGACCTCCCATATGACATCATCTGCTTCCTGGTGACGTCATCTCACTCCACGATGTCATTCCCATCGGCTCCCGCCCTCGCAGAAGGTAACCTAGCAACTACCACACCGGCCACCTTCCTCTATTGTTACCATTCTCATGATTCCAACGTTTCACGTGCCAGGGAAGTGGAGTTTCTTCTCTGGTTCATAAGCACAGCAAATTATTAGAACACGATTTTATCCTTTCCTGTTAGTTTCTCTGTCTTTTACTGTTCTGCAGTGTCCAGTGTGTGTCCACCTCTCTCAGACTCACAGTGGGGCTGCTGCTCTGCAGTGTCCAGTGCTCTTGAGTGTATATCTTCTCTGTCTCTTTTCAGGGGAGCCTGACAAGCCTGTGATATCTAAAGAGGGAACATCTGAGGGCAACACCTACAGGATTCCCTTCAAGCAGCTGGACGATGGGGGCAAGCCCATTATTAAATACATTGTCCGCTACAGATCGGTGAGTGAGACCAGCCCCTAACCCCTTCACCTGCCTTTGCATGGTCTTCTCTGATGATGGGCTATATCAATGGAAAGACCTCCTGATGCTTTTTCTGTGATAAATTGGCACCAGGAACAAGTTCTGGTTTTGAGAGCCTGCAGTCCGTACCCACTTTCTAACTGCAGGGTGATGGGGGAGCTGAAACCTGCAGCAAGCAACAGGTGCAAGGAAGGGTACATCCTGAACAGGAGACCAGTCCATCACAGAGCACACAAACACACACACACTCCACTCACACCAGGGCCAGGTGGGTTAGTGACTATCAGCCCCAGCACACTGGGGGGATGTGGGGCCCAGTTCTCACTCGGCACCTGTCTCTGTGCCCACGTCCCTGCAGGAGGACAGCCAGCTGGAAAAGGAAATGGAGCTCCCGGCGGACTCCAAGGAAGTGATTCTGAAGGACTTGGATTATAACACGGAATACGGGGTGGAGATCCTTGCTGTCAACTCCAACGGCACCTCTGCTCCGGCCAACATCTCCTTCCTCATCCCCCAGCCCATCTCCACCAAAGGTGCGTGGCTCCCCGCCGTGCCCAGCCTCTCTCGGAGGGGGCGGCCCCTCCAATCCACCCTGCTACAGAGGTCTGTGGCAACTGGCTCCTTAACTGTTGGACTGAGGGCGGAGTCAGCAGAGCAGTTCAAGAGCTGGTGGCAGGAAGTCCTGCAGGGGAGCAGACTGGAGCGACCGCAGGGATCTCTGCTGGAAGGTGCCAACAACAGCCAGGTCCAAGATCTCCTGTGCCAGCTTCTCCCTCTACCTCCCTCCCTGTCCCATTCCTTCTCTCTGTCTCCCTGGCTCATTCCTCCCTCCCTCCTCATACCTTCTTTCCCTCCCTCCGCAGACGCCAGGTCTTCCCCTCAGAAGTCGGGCATGGGGACGGGGGGCATTGTGGGTATTGTCATGGTGATCTTCCTGGTGGTGCTGATTGCCGCAGATGCCACCTGCTTCTACACCAACCGCTGCGGCATGCTGATGTGCATCGCTGTCAACCTGCTGGGGCGCAGGCCCAGAGGCACCAAGGGCCTGGACCCGGAGGAGGCCGAGATCTCCACTGTGTAAGTCCAGTTAGACAGCGTGTGGGACACAGCCAGTCTCCCCTCTGTGTGTCTCTGCTGTACTGTGATCAGTGCTGTGGGACACTCTGTCCCTAACAGCCAGTCTCCTCTCTGTGTGTCTCTGCTGTGCTGTGATCAGTGCTGTGGGACACTCTGTCCCTAACAGCCAGTCTCCTCTCTGTGTGTCTCTGCTGTGCTGCGATCAGTGCTGTGGGACACTCTGTCTCTCTGTGAGCACCAGCAGTTCTCTGCCTGTCTGTGCCACCTGGGGCTGTCCTGTGTGAACCGCCTGCTCTGAGCCTCTGCGTCTGTGTCCCTTCTCTTCAGCCGCAGCGAGGTGAAGCTCAAAGGGGTCAGCACCCGGCGGTGCAGCATCCCGAAACCGCAGAGCGGGGCGCAGGCCGAGGTCACGTGCGACAAAGCGCCCCTCACCAAGTTCGAGTAGGTGACCCCCCCCCATTAGGGGGGAAGAGGGTGGACGCAGGACACTGCGCTCCATGAAAAATGGCCGTGGGGTGATGCCAGAGCCCGGTTAAGGGATCACAACCCC